GTCGAGAGGGGAGGTTCTTTCCAATGTCAGAAATTTGATCATGTTTCTAGCCTGAGGGATATTAGCTGATGGGGAGGGAGAGATTAAATGCCTGTCAGAGTGGGTGATTAATGGTCCTACCCTAGAGTAGCACAGACTTTCTGGGAACTCCCTTACAGGCAGCACAGCGGGGAAGGGAGAGCCTAGGACCGTGTGGGGGGCATCCTTCTGCGCTGCCCTCTAGGAGAAGCAGGACCAGAACTCAGAGAACAAAGCCAAATGCCACTGGTTAACCGGGGAAGTAGCCTGGCGTCTCATCAAGCTGTTTGAGGATGGCGTGAGGAGTCTAGAGACCAAGAAGTGGTCAGCAGCAGGCAGGTGGGTCAGATGGGGTCATTCAGAAGCGAACTCTGCAGTCACTGTGTTTCGTAACATGTGCCTTTTATCTGCAACCTGGAAGCTTCCTGGGCTAGAGAACAGTTCTTAGGTGAAAGGGCCTGACTTAGAAGTTGCTTACGTGCAGTTCTTTCAGACTAACCTTGGAAAGAAGGTGTGGGCTGGCCTTCTCTAAGACATGGATTTAACATATATGAATTAAGCCAGGCGGTAAAAGACAAATACTATGTGATCTCAACTTTAACAGGAACCTAAACAATAAAACAAACAAGCGAGTAAAATATAACCAAAGACACTGAAATAGAGAACAGGCTGACAGGAACCAGAGGGGAGAGGGGAGAGAATTTCAGGGGAAGAGGGGAAGGGTTTACAGAAACAAGTATAAAGGACGCGTGGACAAAAACTAAGGGGGGTGGAAATGGGAGGGAGGTGGGGAGGGCTGGGGGGGTGGGCTGGGATGGGAATAAAAGAAAACTACTTGAACAACAATTAAAATAAATAAAACAAATTTAAAAAAGATATATGAATGAAAGACAGTTTGGGGAAACTTTAAAGTAGAAAGGATATCAGTTCAATGAATGATCAGATGATTTAAAAAATCTTTTTAGTAACTCTGGGAGGTTATTTGAGGAGAAGAGGGGGATAGGTAGGGTGGGGTTCAGAGGAGAACGGGGAAGATTTGGAATATCTCTGAGAGGAACCAGCCAGAGATAAATACAGATTTTGCCAGGCAGTGTTGGAAGATCAGCTGTAATTAGAATAAAATTTGTATGAAACCAGTTGGCATCATTAAGTGACTTTTTACCAGCAGTTCTCAGGCAAACATAGATCAAAGGCTTTGAGGTTTGGCATGGCCCGGGCTCTGGTAAACCAAACGCATTTCAGGTCTAGGGGCCTCAAGGATGAGCTGGATGAAGACTTTTCTGCTGCCGAGAGGATACAATTGAAATGACTAACCTCGAAGGTATAGAGAGGATAAGGAGGCAAATATTGCTTAAAGGAAGTTGATACTCTAGGAAAATAGAGAGTTATTAAGTAACTAGCAGCCACCAAGGAAGAAATGAAAGATTATCCAAGTGAGTAAATGGGGCAGTTGAAAGGTCAGAGGATTGTGGCCAGAGCAGAGAATTTCTGAGTTGAAGGTTATAGAAGCGGGGCAGACACATTCTGGACAGAGACGAGGGCCGCGTTGTTGCATCCTGCTGAGGGGCTGAAACAGTGTACGCAAAGCCCGTTGGTGCCGAAGTCAGGAAATGTGAGGCCAGAGGGGATGTTAAAGGGAGGCAGACAAGGATGCTGAAGCTGCTGAAGGGAGGGGATGTGCCCAAAGCAGGCAAACTATTGGTCAAAAGACAAAAGCTTCAATGAAAATGGGCCGCCACGTTAGGTTCTAGGTATTTGGGGAGAACGTGATATTATCGAGTGCACTGCCTTGGGCGGGGCAGGGGTAGACCATCACTAGGGACAAATAGTGGTCTGGAAGTCGTCTTAAAACTGGGAGACAGGTGTTCTGGAAGCTGGGCTGTCAGAGCAGAGGGGTCTTCTCTTGAGACGACTAGGGAGGTGTGTCGTATTGTGCAGATGTCAGGACTTCAGCTTACGAAGGAGCAGCTGAGAGTGTGGGTAGGACAGTCAAATGCTGCGAAGACACATGTGACAGAAGGGGCAGTGCCGCGCCGAGCCTGGAGGTGGGGAGTGGAGCTGGACGGGGGAAAGCCGGCAGAAGGCTGGTGTTGAGTTCAGGGCCTGGCACAGTGTTTATTAGTGATGAAGAAAATGGATGGTGATAATGAAAGGTCGGGTCATGGTAACAGATGTAAGCCGGGAGAGAGTGAATGCTACTTTTGTTGTCAGTGGAGTACATGAAATTAAGTGGCCCCAGGTTTCTAATGAAAATTTTGGTGTGTCCAACTGGAATGTCTGCTTGGAATGTTAGCGTGACCCGTTGGAGCACTGGCATGACCAATCGGAATGGCTATTGGAACTTCGGTGCAACCAATTAAAGTACCATCCCCATCAGCTGGAACATTGGTGTGACCAATGACAGCCTGGCAGTTAAAGCAGCCAGTGGGATTTGGGCAATGATGGGGGCAGATTAGAATCTTAGCTTTCAGGAGAGAGACATTCTTCAGCCTTTTTGAATCCCACCAAGCCAGTGGCTTGCATGCTGGTTAGTAGACAAAGTGCATGAATGTCCTTAAGACAGTCAAGCACTCAACAAGGGTTGTGTTTCTAACTGTCATACCCCTGGGCCTTGGCATCTGGTAGATATTTAAAAACCTATTTGTTGAAGAAATGATTGAAGTCTCGTGGAAGAGTATTTTCTGTTCTCAGCACTCCAAAGCAATGTTATCATCTCATGGATCTTGATTTGTAAAGTTGCTCCTTTTCACCTTTGCATCGGTGGCTGGGAAGCTCACAGGCACTTGATAGTCTGTCTCCAGGTGTGTGTCCAACTTTCGTGTATGACATCAATACAAACTGCAACTCTGGCTTCAACGTCTTTTCCTATCTGCTTTAGTTTTTATTTCAGTGATGTATTTTCTAACTTGAATTATCTATTGTGCAAACTGCCTCAAATAAATTCTGAAATAAGCAGGTTGATGAACGGCCAGAGAGATAAACAGAGGGTTATGAGGCGGTGGAGGCCGACAGGGAGGTGGGGAAGAGGGAGCAGGGGTGGGAGCGAGTGAGGAGGCGGTGGGGGGAGGGTGGCGTCTGAAGGTACTTGACCCTGAGAGGCCATCATCTTCACCCAGAGAAGGCCTCTTCAGGGACCGTGTGTTCTGCACGGCCTGAACACCAGGCGCTACCCGGTAAAGGGTATGTACGTAACAAAATCTTGTCGGTTTGAGGGGGCATTTCTTGGGTTCAGTGAATATTTGTTGATCGCCTGTTTTTCAGCATGTATTTATTTCCCTTAAAATTCTTGGACTCCTTCTCCTGTTTATTAGGAAACAATGATACATTAGGCATAAAAAAAATTTTGGAGTCAACAGACCTTGTACTGAAAACAAACTTGGCTGTTGATTGGTGTGTGTCCTTGGCCAAGATAGGGCAGTCTCTAGTCTTGTTTCCTCATCTGTAAGGTTGGGAAAATAATGTTTACGGCTGAGTCCCTGGGAGGGTTTATGGAGAAGATGTGTGTAGAGCACCCAACAGTGTCGGCACAGAGGAGACACTCAGTGAGTTCAAGCCCCACCCCCAGTTACATGGGATGTGCTCTTCTGGCTGCCTCCTCATGACCGAGTCTCCCCCAGTTCTATCGTGGCTGTGCTGCTGTCTGCCCTGTGGGCCCACTTTAGGCCCGGCTGGCCCGGGAAGAGCCAGCCTTCTTAGCCCAGGGCCCAGTGAGCTTATTTTGCTGATTTGACTTCTAAACACTCATCCCCCCATATTAGCAGATGGACCATTTGTAGCCTGGCTTCCTGAGGTCCTGAGGGCCTTCTCGCCAGGGGATTATGTATTCCAAGTTCAAATCCGTCCTGTGTGGTTTGGTTTGTGATCTGAGGACAGTTCAGAATACATAAAATCATAGCTGCTGGGTCAGAACGGTGTTGGGACCACCATTCTCGTCCCAGGGTTGGGCTGCGTGTGTGTGGGTTGCTGCAGGGTCCTCAGACCCCGGCAGGGGAGCGTGTCTTCACCGTGGGCCCACTTAGCCTGCTGCCATCCCAGTTGCCGTGTTATGTTTTCCTTGCTCGGGCCTGTTGTAATCAGCGTCTCCTGTGTGCTGGGGTTTGGGGCCACGTGGAACATTGCTTTTTTGCCGTGGGGAAATGTGTTGCCCTTGGACTTTGGGAAATGCTCCTGTTTGTGGAGCGTTTTTTAAAAAACACTTCCTAGTAGTTCTAAGCAGGTGTTTTGTCCGTCACCTTTGTTGTTGCCTTATTTATGCTTATTAAGTATATGTATTAGTGGCAAGTTGTCTGCTATGTTCTACTGGTAGCAAGACTAGCAATAACCTCCCAGTGGGAGCCCTCAAAATAAGGAAAGTCTTCTTACTCACATCCCAGAGTTGCCATGTTGTAACGTGGGTACAGGAAAGACCATCCATCTCACATGATAAGATTCCAGTAAAACTATTCAGTAAATACTCATGGACCATCCATTGTACTTTATGCTCCAGCTCCCTTCTAGGTTCCTTGCAGTGAGTTCTCACAGTGAGATGTGTTAAAGGCTGTGCTGGAGGCTGATTGAGCTCAGGAGGTGATAGGGAAATTTTGGTTTTAAAAAATATATAACCAAATCTTGTTTTTTATTTGTTTCATGGGAGAAGGATCTGCTGCTTTGCCTTACAATTAGAGATGAAGAAATTTAGTACTTTTTCCTACTTGGAAATAATGAATAATGGTTTGTCTGGGCAAATGTGGTGTTTTTTTGGAAAAAAAAAAAAAGTAGATCACATGTCTGTCATAGCACAGTGAGTAGTGGCAGGCGCTGTGCTGTCCCCAAATGACTGATCACTGTCCCGGGCCCGTTCCTCGTAGGCCGGTGGCTACAGGCAGCAGTCCGACTCCGTGTTGTCTGCACACCACTGACAGATTGCCTTACGTGCTTATGGGGCTGGGGTTGTCCTTGTTGCCATGGAGGCCTCTGATTCTGAGATCTGCTTTTGCTTGCAGGAGCTGCTAAGTCGCACATCTCTGGAGACTCAGAAGCTCGATCTGATGACTGAAGTGTCTGAGCTGAAGCTCAAGCTGGTTGGCATGGAGAAGGAGCAGAAAGAGCAGGAGGAGAAGCAGAGAAAAGCAGAGGTGAGTGTGGTGCCCAGAATTCCAGAGGGGCCCATAGTGGCTTAAGCTCAGACCAGGGGAAGGAGTTCTAATGGAGACTCAGACCTTCTGGTCAATCCCAAGCCCGCCACCACTGGCTGCCGGAAACATCTATGCACTAGAGATGCAATGATCTGTTAATACCAAGTTATCAGATTTTGCTGCGGCTGCAACTTTCATCAGTGCCCAAACCACCCAGTTTTGGCTCGAAGGCTTTGCGCTCCCTCCAGCTGCTGACAGGGATGGAAAGGGACGCAGTCGTGAGGGGAGGATCAGACAAGATGTGAAGGGACGCAGATGTCTTCTGCAAAAGCCAAGGTATTGACCAGGTACTGGGAAGAAGTTGGCTGGCAAATGGGCCCCAGTCACTCTATCCACGGAATCTGATGTGCATTTCACTAGCCCAGGTGGAGCCCTTAGATTGTAGGTGGCAAACACAAGGCCCGCGGGCTGAATCCAGCCCTCCACCTTCTTTTATCCAGCTCAGCACCTTCTTTCTACCTGGTGGCAGTACCAAGCTCCTTGCCCCTAATTAAGGAGTAGTTACATTCATACAGTCTTAAAATTATATTTGGCCCTTTGAAGGCAACTGCAAGGCCGGTGTGGCCCCAGGTGAAGAAGAGTTTGACACCCCTGCCTTAGACTATGTGCAGTATTTCTTCTCTCCTGCAGGATCATAGGGGTGAGCACATGCACAGGCCTCTCTTAGAGAACGTTTTCCTATTTTGTTGTATTTTAATTTCCAGGCTCAATATGCCATTGGCTAACATGCTAGACTGCTTTTTTTCCCCCCGAATAAACATTTATAGAATTTCAGGCTTAGAGCAACTTTATTTTAGAGAGAAAGTCTGTTTTAACATTAGATAACCATCTTCTGTGTGCCTCTACCTACAAGTCCCTGTATTCTCACCTGGAAATGTGAGATGGGGAAGGAAGATAGGCCTAGGTTTAGAAGCACCTTGGCTCAATTACTGGCCTAAGTCCTTAATAGCTTTATGAACATCAACAAGGTAGCTACTTAATCTTTCTCAGCTTCAATTTCTTTAACTACAATGTAGGTAACTATGTGAGGTCCACATAAAATCGTGAAAGTAAGTCCCTATTATAGGATCTGGCATCTCATAAGTAGCAGGTTTATCTTCATCCCCTTTCCCCATACAGGCATCTCCGAAGTCTAAAGATGGGTGTCATTTCTTTCTATTAAGTGAACACATTACTATGCACCGAAACCTGTCATATTTCTGTGTTACTGGGTAAACACTGGTGACGGACACACTTCTAATACATAGGGCATATTCCTTGCACTGCTTTTGAGAACATGCTCCGTAGTAAGAACAGTTGCCAAAAGAAGCTGAGGACATGAAGCTGAGGACAGTGCCTCCTAGTGATGAAGTGTGCAGGCTCCTGAGGCAGGTCTCCTGGGCGTAATCCACGCTTAGCTACTCAGCAGCTTTGTCATTTTAGGCAAGTAATTTAACCTCCAAACCCCTGTTTCTCCTTCGGTAAGATGGAGATAGTAACACATTCTTCCTGTTTTCTGGGCTGTTCTGAGCAAGGAGTGAGATAATCTATGTATAGTCCGCAGTCCAGTGCTGGACACACAGTAATAGCCAGGCCTTGTCGATCATTCACCGATCGTGCTGTGAAGCTCACTAGGAATGGGAATGTGGACTTAAATATGTTACTGCACAAGGCAGAGATCTCATAGACTGAAACTTTACCTGCGGGAAGTATTGGTTGGCTGATTTCTACTTGTTAAATAGTTACAGAGAAACAATTAAATTTTCTATGGGTTACAGATAATTTTACCAGTGTTTCAAGATGTGTGATAACATGTGATCATGTGTTAGGGCTTTGAATTTGAAAGAATTCAGCAGACTTTGAGAAGGCTTCAACTGGATGGACTCCATTTGAAACCACATAATTTTTTTTTTTAACAGTGGAAGGGTTATTAGGTTACAGAACTTGAAGAGCACAGGGTTTAAAAATCCAGCAGCACTGGTCCAGGTGGCCCCACAATGTCATTAGAAATCAGGCCCAGCGTATCACTTGGTTCTGGCCCAGCCCTACCCTCAGGAAGGCTCTCCCCCCTGTGGGGACAGAGGTGGCCACAAGCACTAGGAGCCTGGCGGATGGAGACTCTTCTCAGATTTCTGGCAAAAGCCCCAGGATTGTGTCCTGTTTGGTCAGTCGGGTCACATGCCTGGTTCTGAGCCAGCCCTGTAGGGAGCTGTACCCATGCTCACGTGTGTGGGCACATGGGGGCGTCAGTGCGTCTGTGTGTGGAAGCTCGCAGAGCCAGCACCAGGCCGCAGCGCAGTTCCTCCGTAGGGAAGACTGGAAGGAAGGAGAAGTCCACTTCCAGGCCACAGCTCGCTAAAGCAGTCATTTTACCATTTGCTTCATTTCTTTCTTTTCTGAAAAATTTTCAGTGTGAGTTTTAGTTTTTGTTTTCCATGAGGCTCTTCATTTCTGAGGCAACATAGAATCAGAGCTGCCGGCCTCAGTCCTATCAGGGTAATAGCCCTTCCCAGTCACTAGTGCAAACATTAGCTTTCCACTTGGAGGAATTTTTTAGGCTGTTCAAACCTGTGACAATCAGCGAACAGCCACATGACCTGAAACACACTTTTCATGCTTGTGATTGAACTGAATCTTTGCTCAGATGTCCAGAACCTCCACATTGCCTGTAACTATTGGGATCCCCAGAGGCTTAAAAAACAGAGTGCTGCTTAAGCTGCAGTATTGTCTTGTGCATGGAGATGTTTATTTTGAATGAGACATTTAGCTAGCCGAGGTTAGCAGAGGTTGTAGTTTCTAAGTAGAAGGAATTCTGCTTTCCATTCTGTACACTGCTGTTTTTTTCCGGTGTTTAGCCTAAGGCCTGATTGCTTGTGGTTTGGAAAAGGCAAAAACATTTTTTTTTTTGAGGTAGCCAGATCTGTAATAAGCTTCTCCTATGTAGCTCTGGTTTTATCCTCAAATTGCATGTTATGTTTCAATGGAAAAAAAAAAGATGCTGTTAACAAGAGCATCGCAGACTGTTCTGTCTGGCTCTGATTTCACTCCACGCCAGCGTCCTGCTGCCCCGAGTTGTGGAAGTGATTATGGTTGTCTGTAAAGGCTGCGGACTGTGAGGGGCAGGTTCCTGTCAGATGGAGAGAATCCTGGCAGCCAGCCTGGCTCAGGAGTCCGTCAGCGGCCTGAATGAGATGTGCATGATTACTGGCTGTCTGTCTTTATTTTACTTTTTCTTTATCAGCCTTTGGCAAAAAGGCTGATATTTCAGGGAACCTAAGTTTGGCTCCATTAGCCTTACTCCTGAAAAGCAGGACTGCAGGAGATTGACTGACCTAGAAAGTAAAATCGGAGTTAGGAAGACAGAACATGAGAGAAAGATCCAGAAGCAGAGGAAAACCCCAGGGTAGTTCAGCATGCCAAAGCCATGACCCTCGGAGGGGTCTTCCTTGGAGAAGGGAGCCGGCTTCCCTAAGCCTGGGGCTGCAGGGGCGCCTGCCGGGACCCCTTAGCAGGGTCCAGGGCTGTTGCGAGGAGTGCCACAGAAGCTCATGGGGGGCGAGCCCAAACCCCACACGACGTGCTGTGATGTGAAGTCAGCCCAGCTGATCAGGGATGCGCGCGAGCTGGACGAGAGCCAGGAAGCGTCTTTAGGGTTTCCTGGCAGAAAACGGGAAGTCTGACGGCCCCAGTGGTGCAGCCACGCCGCCATCTCCCTGCCGGGAGGCCCGCGGACGGGAGGACGTCTGGTGTCTGAACTGGGTGACCAGGCCGGGAGGATTGTATTTTCTCAGAGAAGAGCTGGCCCCATGAAGAGAGTTTTATTCTTGTTTTTATCCTGTGTTGTCTTATTTACTCAATTTTATTAACATAGCAAATACTCTCCAACAATTCAAAAAATCAAAAGTTCAAAAATCTGTATGTAGCAAAAAGTCTCCTTCTATGCCCATTCCTCAGCCAGCAGTCAGGAACCAATGTTACCATTTGTTTTTTAACCTTCCGGAGTGACTTTATGCACGATGAGCACATTTACTTGGATATCTGTCTGCATCTGTAAATATATGCTCACACATACATTCCGCCCTCAGTGAAAAAGGCTTCCTCATTTATACTTGTGTGTGCATATTATTATTCCACTGTCTGCCTATGCTCTGATTTATTTAACCAGTTCTCTCTTGATAAATATTGAAGTTCTTTCTAAGTATTTGCTGTTATGAATAATAACAGCAAATATCTTACGAGAGGATATTGAAGCAGAACTGATGGCACAAAGGGTACATGTGTCTTTGGCAGACATTTCCAAACCACCCGCAGACTACAGAAGTTATACTTTTATCCGTGATGCAGAAGAGTTCCTGGACAGTGTTAAAGTGAACGTCGTAAAGGAAGAGGGAGAGAAAGAACTGAGTAAAATTGTGAACAAGTTTAACAGGAAGGATGGGGCAGGAAAGACTCTGATTATGGGAGGTGTCCAGTAGTTTGACATAGCAAAGAGCCATGAAAAAGAACTTCGATGGTTGGCAAAGCAGGAGTAAATGAGCAGAGATTACAACTGCAGAACACCAATTAGAACCTCATAAATGTCTCCTGGATTTCATGATGTGGGACCCAGGGGTGGAAGGAAGACCTGTCACTGGAGGTGATGGGCTGGCCCCGAAGATAGGGATTCAGAAGTAAGTTGAAATGCCAAACCTGAGGATGGACTTGCTGGACAACAGCAACGCCCCATGGGTGGGGCGAATGAAAGGACAGTGTCCCAGCAAAGGTGGGCGTACCACCTGGTCACACTGAGCAGAGGAGGGGAATGCACTCCTGAACCACTCCCAGACTGATTGAAGCAGACAAGGGGCAGTGATGGACGGGAGCCGCGATTTGGAGAGCTCCTAAAAATCTCCTCCAGCTGAACACTTAAGTCTTCGAATTGGCTCTTGGTCCCTTCTCCCCCTTTTTATAGTTTCTCCCCA